TCATAATTAAAGCAATATAAATTAAAGCAACAATGAGATAGATATCATTTTTCACCCATCAGGGTGATGCCTTTTCAAACTGTATAACATCTTGCGTTGACAAGGCTGGGAAGAAACAAGCATATTCTCCCTTTTGGTGGGGTCCCACCCTGTGCAGCCTCTTCAGAGGGTACTTTGACAATATCGGTCAGTGTGGGCTAAAATCCAATTCCCCTTCTAGGCACTTGCTCCACAGAAACGTTTCCATGTGTGTGCAAAGAGGCATGTGTAGGAGCGCTCAGTGCTGCGCCACTCATAAAAGCCGAAAGCTCTAGGCAGCCCCATGTTCATGAGCAGATGGGGCGGGGGGATAGGCAGCTACGGAAAATGCTGTGCTGTGTGCAAGGGAAAGGAACTAGATCTGGTCTGACATGGGAATGCCCCTGACTCCTCGGCACACTGCTCACTTACAAAGGTAAGTTGCAGAACAGCGTGTACCTCAGATGTAAGATCTCATTTGTGTAAAACACTGAACACTGCAAATGTATTAAGCCACATGTGTTCTGGACCCCTCCTTCCTCTTCCCAGAAACATCTGTCAAGTCTCTTGGTGAGCAGAGCCTTCCACTGGGGTTTAGGTCTCTGCAGCCCATCCTGCACACTCCACCATGGCCACGGGTCATCTTCCTGGACCCAGGCAATACGGAAGATCTGGAAGATCTGGAAGTTCACCCTGCATCCTGCATGCTCTACCCCAGTGTTTTGCAACTGTTTTTAATCCCATGCCACACTTGAACCTATTGCCAAACTTCTGTGGCACATTTAAAAGAGTAAAAAATAAAAAGAACATACTTATTGTACTTTGAAATGCTTTTGAAAATAATTTAATTGATGATATTTAAAAATTTCTGTGGCACACCTAAGGTCCTCTCATGGCACACCGGCTGAAAATCACTACTCTAGTCCTTGAGACACCTGAGGTTAACACACCAGACAGTGAAGGCTTTTCTGAATGGTTGGAGTGGACGTTTAGGGCCATTTCAGAAGGAAATTATGATGTAGACTATAATTATTAAAAGGTCGGCATGGAAGACATGCTAAGAGACAAGCTCACGGGCACACAGCAAATGCTGCCTCTCACTTCCTTGGCACCCAATCCAAAAAAGGCAGGCGCACTAAGGGAGTCAGATGCCTCAGTTTCTGTGTGACATTGAGGGCCTGGGAATCAGGAAGGAAGTCTCCCCCTCCTCTGCTTGGCCACCAGGGGGCAGTGCCTCTAAGCGCACCCGGGTCCAGGGCCCAAGTACCCAGGAAGCCCTAGCAGGTCAAAGCCAGTTGATAGCCAGAGAGGAATGTGGTCTGAGGTCAGTACCTCAAGGCCCTGTGGTGAGCCAGCTCCCCCACCTCTCTGCTAACTCTGAGATTTTCTCACAATCTAGCCTCCCTGTAAGGAGGAGACTGAGAGTTCCACTGTCCACGTGGAAGACTGAGGCCCAAAGAAGGGAAAGACTGGCCCAAGGTCAAATCTTGAGGTCCTGCCGAGATGAGAGTGCCAGATAAAATACAGACTTTACTGTTGGCCTTTTTATCTTGCGTGTTACACAAATTTAAGTTTGCCATTTTTAATTGTATTTTTTATGAAGTTTTTTCAGTTTAAAATCTTACACACCAGCATGAGTTGTATTTTATACATTTTGGATTTCTTTATAAATTGCTGTGGTTTTTAGTGCACTTAATATTAGCTTGCTTAATACACACTTTTAGTCAAGTAGAACAAAACTATTAGAAGAGGCGTTTACGCATAGATTGCAGCAGTAATTAGTGCGTAAACTGTTGTGAATACACATCTCTCCTGTATATGTGTGAAAATTCAGTGGCCGTATGTTCATCATAATAAAAATATACCAACTACAGCCATCCAGATGACTAAATTGGAACTTTTCTTTTGCATGTATATAATGTCAAATTGTCAGCATGAGAAAAGTGACAGATGTTATTTTTGTATTTTTAAAAACTAATCTGTTGTATATGAAGTTTTTTACCTCTTTTGTACAGATCAGATTTTACACTCACATAGGTAGGAATATTTACAGTTGTAAACTATGAATAGTTCAGTGTTCAACCGAGCACTATGACAAAGCAGTACAATTTCTGTGACGGGAATAGTGAAGGAACAGTCTTCTTGCTTTGCCTTGAAAGTGTCATCAATTTGTAGTGTTAGCATTAACTCTGCGACGTGTGTGTAGGTACATTTTATAGAAGGACAGACTAAAATCATACACAGCACACCTTCAAAACCTTGGGGGAGGTGGGATTAAGTACAGGCACATTTGGCTTACAGTAAATGAACTGATTTTTATTAACTGCATTTGCCTGCATAAAATGCTAATATGTTTACAGACAACCTGGCCACCCTCATAGTTATGATGGAAGTATTTCTCAAAAAATGATAACATCTTTACTTTTAACATATTTCTGGAATCAGCTGTTGGGTTTCAAATTTTGGCTAATCAGGATTCCAGGTGATCAACAAACAACATAGGAACCACTTTTGAATGAAACTGATTGTCTTTGAAATTGACTGTCTTACTCAGTTTAAGTAATCTCTCTGAATTTTAAAATAACATGCTGCTTATGACCGAATTAGATATTTAATGTATCAATTAAGTGTTGGAAAAAATCTTTGCACCATAGAACAGAAATACCTAAAGATGACATGTTGAATGTTAACGGGCATTTTCACAGGGTTGACTTGATTCTTAGTGGAGACGTTAGGGAATGGTTAATACAAATGAATGAAATAAGCAACTAAATGAGATCTAAGAATTAGCCCTTGGATTAAAATTTGTTCTTATAAATCCTGTCAATAAAAATAAATTAAAAAAAATATAGGCTGTCCAGTTAAATTTTGAACATCAGATCAACCATGAGTCTTTTATAGTGTAAGTATCTCCCAGAGGTTTCATGGAGAATACTTAAACTCCAAAATTATTTGTTGTGTACCTGACATTCAAATGTACTCGTCCCTGGTATTTTGATTAGTTTAATCTGGCAACCATGGCCAAGCAAAGCCCATGCCTCCTGTTTCCCAGGCTTCTGTCCCACTGAGCACAAGCAGCAGTGTCTCTGCTCCTAAGGTGGCCCTCCAGGAAGCTCAAATTTCATTGCAGCTGCTCTGATGGAGCTGGGAAGGCCTTCTTTAGGGGCCTCCAGGAATGTAGGCAGGCCCAGCATCAGCTTTGCTCCTGGGAAACTCAGTGGAACAGGTGGGGAGAGCAGGGCAGGCTGCACTGCCCCCTTAGTCCTGGCTTCTCCCTTTCCTCTTCCTTTGCTTGCTCCTTTTCTTCTTTCCTCCCCTCCTTCCTCCCCTTTCTCCCACCTGGCCCTAGCTGTGTTCTGTCTACAAATGGCCTCCCCTTCCCCCAGGGTCTCTGGGGCTAAGCCTTGCATTGAGGGTTCACAACTGGTAGTTATAGCAATCAGGGTTCTCCAGAACCATAGGATGTATATGTGTATGTACGGAGGTCTGACAGTTAAGTCCGTGAACTGATCCTAGAAAAAGTGCTACATACCTCATTGCTGAATATCACTATGGTCACCTTCAAAGTTCTTCCTCCTAGTCCACCCTTCAAAGCAACTTGGAACTCTTTTTCTGGGGTTACCATCGGAGCTGTCATTGTATGAGGTTGTATATTTAAGTTCATGAACTTGCCATTGTGCACGTATGTTTGCAGCTTTGTATGAACAACTTGATAAGGGTTCATAACATGTCTATAAGTGTCTCACAGCTGTGTCAGCGTGTGCTGGTGCCTTGCTGAGTGGCCTTATTTATTGTTGTTGTATGTTTTTGTGTGTTGTACAATAACATCTCTGACGGCAATTCTAGAAAAAAGTTCTAAAATTGCTGTGAAGGGTGGACTAGGCACTGGTGTTGGTGCGTAGTGTCCCAAGGGGAGGACTTGACAGTGACTGTAGTGATATTCCCCAAGGATGTGTGTATATGCACATGCACACATATGTAGAGACTGATTTTTAAGGAACTGTCTCACATGATCATGGGGCTGGCAAGTCTTCAGTCTGCAGGTTAGGCCAGCAGGCTAGAGACTCAGGCAGGGGCTGGGGCTGCTGTCCTGAGGCAGAATTTCCTCTTTTCAGGGAAGCCTTAGTCTTTGCTCTCAAGACCTCTAGACTGGTTGGCTGAAGCCCGGCCGCATTATCTAGGATTAGTGATCTTAAAGTCCGCTGACTGTAGATGCCACCCCAGTTGCCAGATACCTCCACAGCCATATCTACACTAGGGTTCAGTGGAGTTGCTCGGGACTATGGCTGGCCCAGGTGACACTGGAACCCACCCATCACAGTGATTGAATCCGTAGGGAAACTGAGGGGAAACTGAGGGTTACAGTGGCTGCAGGACGATCCCTCCTCTTCTGCCCTTCCCTCCCTTGATTCTCAAGGTTCCTGCCCAGACAAACCCAGGTCAGAAAAAAGGCCTCCTCCATGCCTGGGGACTCTGGACTCAGGGAGACAGGCTGTGCTCTGCAGAGAATCCCTTCTGATGAGGTTGTGTGGCCTGAATTTAGGACCAGAGCTGGCCTTGCAGCAGCCATGACAGGCCTGGGACGTAACCTTGCTTTGGCTGCTATTTGACTCGTAGTCCCTGTGCTAGTTTCTGCCTGTCCTCAGAAATGATAGAGATTGGACCCCACCTTCCCCCAACAGGCTAAGTCCAGGGATCTGTGTGTGAGAGAATTTCTCACAGGCAAAAGCTCTGAGCTGTATCTCTTTTCCCAAGTTGCTTACAGAGTAGCAGGAGAGAAGGCCACAAAGCAGCCAACAAGATACAGCAGGAACGGAAGGTGCTGAGTCCAAGGCCTGAGCCCAGAAAGGGAGTCTGGCTCCACCCCCTTGTGCGGCTATAACTTCTTCGAGCTCCTGCGCCTCAAAGAGGAGATTTTCCAAGTGTCTCTACTGTGACTGTACCCTTGAGGTTCTCACCTTACAAGCGTCAAGCTGGCGGGGATGGCAGGAGGCCCTGCTAGCCTCAAGGAGGAATTAGAAATGTCTTTGGCTGAAGAACTGGGTGCTGGAAATCAAGGACCAAGCCAAGAGCATGGAGTGTTAGCAGGTGAGGATCTCCTGAAATACTCCTTGGCTAAGGCCAACCATGTAGACGCATGTCTACACCTGTGCATGTGGGTGTTGGAGAAAGTGCATGTGTGCCTGGGCAGGTGTGGAGATGTGTGCAGGTATGTGTTTACATGTATGTGTGGGCATGTGTGTGTGTCTGGGCTTTCAAGTATTTGTGGGTTGGGTGGCAGGAGAGGTGGGAAAAAGGGATAAATGCTGTGAGCATTTTATAGCACGTGAGGGAGGAGGGTGGGAACAACCTGTGTAATTCCTCCATCCTCTCCTTGTCTAAAACACCATAATGTCTACTATAAAATACTGTATTAGAGGGCTTAACTTATAAGATCAGCAGATCCAATCTCTTTCTCAATCCTCTAATGCCTTCTCCTATCCTTAGGAGTCAAATCCAAATTCCACAATTTACAAAATCCTATCATGGTCACCTCCTCAAAGTATTTCAGGCTATGACTTACCTACACAGAAAATACCATTGCGGTGGCCCATAAGGTCTACCCACCCCAGACTGTGTTTATGTTCCTTTTCAGAATGCCCTGAGGTTGCTTCTTCCTCATTCTGTTCACGTTCTCTTCCCTCCATCTGGAATGCTCTCTGCCTCAATTCCCCTGGCGGGGCCCTTTTTCTCTTTCAGTTTCGCTTTAGGGTTGTCTTCCATTTGTCTCTCTGAATTTACATTGATGGATTATTTTCTGTTTTGTACCCGGCCTGCTCCCCCCTCCACAGATACACAAACCGATGATCAATTCCTTGGTGGTTGGCATCTTATCTCTTGGCCATTGCTCTCTCCAGTAACCTCGTCTACAGCTTGATCTTCAGTAAATGCCTGCTGAAGAACAAACTGAGGCCTGAGATGAGGCAGTGGGCAGTGGCGAATGGGTGTTGAGCAATTCCTGATAAGTTTGGGGACCCTGCTGTTGTGTATGTGTGTGTGTATCTTGTGCCCAGGAAGCCTCAGTACAACTTCTATAAGTGTTTCTGGGGCCTCTGTTTTTCTCTTTAGAAATGATGGAGCGTGGATCTCGGTCCCTAAGTGCTTCCCACAGGCGACAGAAGTTGGAACCAAAATCTCTTGGCTCCGCTACAATCCAACCAATTTGGAATATGGCTTCCACTCGGCCTAAGAAATTGGTACTGTATGGGGTTCTTGGCACATGGTAAACAGGTTGGGGTTGGGAATATTGGTTGTAGGGCCTACAGCCTGACCCTGGGTTAAGCAAGGCCAGAAGTCGACATATGAGGAGGAATATCATATTCTCAAGAAGGCAAATAAAGGAAGAGAGGTCTAGTAAAAGGTCAGGGCTATCCTTTTGTTGTTGCATTTTAAAGATGACGTTCTCTGACACCCAGGCTTGAGTTCAGTGGCAAGATTGTAGCTCACTGTACCTTGAACTCCTGGGCTCAAGTATTCCTTTGTCTCAGCTTCCCAGGTAGCTAGGACTACAGGTATGTGACACCATACCTGGTTAATTTTTATTTTGTTTTATTTTTTTGTATTGGCACAGTTTTGCTATGTTGCCCAGGCTGGTCTCAAACTCCTGGCCCCAAGTGATCCTTCCCCTCAGCCTCCCAAAGTGCTGGGATTACAGGTGTGAGCTACTGTGCTCAGCCCAGGGCCATCCTTTGATATCCTGGGAGTTTAACCCTGGGAATCTAGAGTGTCCGAAGTATATATTGTTTTGGAAGTACATGCACACTTTGTAGAATTCTAGAGTGTGTGAAATGATACTTTCATCCTTTAGGATTATGTGTAAGTGCATATGTGTGTATGTGTGTGTGTGTGTAAGTATGTTTGTGTATATTAAGGTGGGTGAGGCTTTTATGCTTCCTGGCTGTTAGGAAATCCAAACAAGTGAATCTGATCATTTTTTAGTCAATCCTTCAAGCTACATTCAATGCGGAGGAGGGAATGTTCTAGAACAAATGGTGACTATACCGTTGCAAAGAATACTGGGAAAGGGCAGCCATTTGGTGGTGAAAGGAGATTTGACTGTTTTAGGAAATCATGTTTGTCCCACAGTTCTTTAAGCTACATTTACAGTAGGCGAGAGAAACTCTTAGAAAAATGGTTGCAATACTGTTGCAAAGGTTATTGGGAAAAATGCAACCAGCTTGGAGAAGACTGTCATGTGAGTATCATTTTCTGTAGTTAATCCTTTAAACTACCTTCAATGCAGATGAGAGAAAATTTGGGAAATTGGTGGTTGTACGTATTGTTGCAAAGATTACTGGGAAAAGGCAGGAAAGCTGGAGAGGGAGGGAGAACTGACTGCTCTATGGAATCACCTGAGACCCACCTGTCCGTAGCCAGTTCTTTAATCTACATTCACTGTGGGCGAGGGAATGTTCTGGAAAACATATTGTCAACAATATCCATAAAAGGATACCGGGAAAAGAAAGCTGCTTTGGAGGAGGAGGGAATCACATGAGTCTCATTGTTCTGTAGCCAATCCTTTCAGCTATATTCACGGAGAAGAAGGAAAATTTTAGAAAATGGTGGTTAGACTGGTACAAAAGGTTACTGGGAAAGGCAATAAGGTTTAAGAGGGAGGGAGACTGAACTGCTGTAGGTAATAGTGTACCATAAATTCTGGAATGATACCTCCCCCAGTGATTAATGAGAAAAAGAGCTTCTAGGTCAGAGAACTCCTGGAAATAAAAATAAGTCAGAAATATCAAATTGTCTTCCTATATCCGAAGACAAAAGCCAAATCAAGTTGCTCCCAGAGATCTGACTCCAGCAAGCCAGCCACTCATGTCCCTGAGACTAAAGGCGGTTATTACCTCTGGATTAATTAAAGTTAACTATGAGGACTAGAGGAGTAGATTGTTTAAAAATACAGACATCATATTGAATTTACAAATGAAATTTAGAATTAAGAAATCTGATTTATTAATTAAGTTTACTTATTCATTCATTCATTTATTTCTGAATAAAATAATTAATGGAATTTCTTCTGGGAGAACCATATAAAGACAAGAAAAATTGATAATGCTATCCTTCTGACTTGGAAAAAAAAGTAGTTGTGCCTGAAAATGTAGAAGAAAGCAAAAATACTATTTTTGGAAGGACTAACAGAGGGAAGTTGGTACTCACTGCAATTCATAGCTGCTTTTCTTCCTAACCTCAGTCAGACGTATATAAAAGTCTTCTGTTTTACAATGTCTATAACTCTAAATAGAGTGCCCAAAAATAAAAATAAAAGGCAACAAGATAAATAACTGTTTCGGAACATTGAGATGGGTCTTATTGTGGGTGATCGTAGTAAGAGGTATCACCTTTTGAAGGTGTTGTCATTAAATTAATTCTTAGTATATTGACGTGTTAGCAACAAACTATGTTATCTCAAAGAATCAAACAAAACCCAATCACCAGTTAGTCATCCTATTTTGCTTTCAAATTTCTCAAAAATTTTTTGCAATGATTCCAATCTATAGGAAAATCAAGTGATGACCTGAGCATGGTACTAAGGGAAACAGGTGATCAAATTCCTCTTTAAAATCCTGAGGTATGTTATTTTGAAGTATGGTAAGAAGAGGAAACATGACTGTGAACTACTATAACTACTGCTACTAAAAGTTGCCCCAGTATCTGTGTGTTCCCTTTGAGAGATGTAATTTTGCATTATTGCAACCCATGGAACATGCTGCCGGAGTTCCTGTGACAATTCTTTACAGACATTGTTCCACCTTCAGTTGAATGTTGTTGTAAGAGATAGGATCCCTTTGCTCAAGATATGGCAGTTCGCCTCAACGTGCTCCCTCTGGAGACTATTTACAACAACATGTTGTTACTTAGGAACAGAAAAGAGCTGCAGATCTGTCTTAGGTGATAGGTGAGACTTGGTTGTCTATTCATTTCTAAAAATGAGGCAAATCTCAGAGTTCCCCCAGAGCTCTGCCCATCTTGCTCAGGCATGTCAAAGGTCAGGTTATGTTTCAGCAGGGGGAATGGGTGAGGAACCGGCTGTCATGTGGGGCAGTCTGAAAGGCCAGAATGAGGAGGGTTTTATCTTGTCTCACTATCACCCGAGATTTCTTATTCATTTGGCTCAGGTTTTAGCTGGAGGGTGAAGTGCCTGGCTGGCAGCCAGGTGAAGTGAGAAGGGTAGATGACTGGGTCTGGATCCTCTCCGGGTGCCACTGGCAGGGGTTTCACTATCTGGCTTCCTCCAGGGCAACTTTCTGAATTCTGAATTTTTTTTTTTTTTTTTGCAGTTTTGGGCCAGGTCTGAGTTTGAACCCACCACCTCCAGCATATGGGGCTGGCACCCTACTCCTTTGAGCCACAGGCACCACCCCAAGAATTCCAAATTTTGGTTGAATTCTTTTGTTTGCTGATACCTCTCCTGTTGTCATCTTTCCTGTGGGTTTACATGATTTTACTGTCTTTACTGGCACTTAGTAGAGTCTTAAGAGGAAGTCGTGTTAGATATGATGCCTCCCATATTTAATGGTCGAGTGTAACCTCTAAAGCAAAATGTGCTGAATTCAAATTACTTCTCTGCTACTACCAGCTGTGTGACTTGAGTGAGTTACTTAAACTCTCTGTGTTCCAGTTTCCCCATTTTTCACAATGCAGTGATAATATGTGTTTCATGGAGTTGTGATGAGGATTCAGTGACTTGCTATTGGTGAGGGTTTAGAGGATGGCATGGTCGCTGGCATGTGGTAAGTATGTATTAAATAAGCAGCTTGTGAAATACAGTGGAACCTCCATAGCTGACCACTTCCCTGCACTGACCACCTCCCTACTTTGACCTAATTTTCATAGACAGGACAGGCACCACATGGACATGTCAGTACAGCAGGCCTAGTTCCTTTTGTCGACCACCCCCATATGTAGACCAGTTTGTTACAGTCTCTGGGGTGTTCAACTGTGTATTTCATCCTGAATTGGAAACCTACAGCTGCAAATTGAACTTAGGTAGGTCTGGCACAGAAAGTCACATTCGGTTCCTCTCCTACACACTGGCTCTTTAAAGGCATCAAAGTCCCCTGGCCTGAGGGCTCTGGGCCAGAGACGTGTACTCTGGAAGTCATTAGCCGATGGATAAAAATGAAAGCACAGGGATGGCTGGGCTCACCCAGCGAAGGATGCTCTCTGTAGCTTGGATGGACACTGACCTGCATCTCAGAGGAATGAAGGGGCCTCACCAAGCCCCCACTTCCTTGGCTGCTGGTTGAGGTTTCACAGTCTCCAGTAAGTCGCTTGACCTCTCAGCTCATGTCTGCATGTGAAAGTGCCTGTAGAGGACAGGGACCCCTGTCACTGCTCTTCCTTCCTGCAGCCTGGATGCCCAAGAGGTACTGGGGAACTTGGTGCAGGCAGAATGGTGGCACATAGCCAGTTTGTGGGGTTCCCAGGCTCTCCTACTGCTTTGGAGCTGACAGCCCTGGATTCCAGAGGATCAGGCAGCACGTGGCTCCCCAGGGGGTGCACAGCTGGTTCTGGGCAAGCTATGGGGAAGGCACTGGATGGGGCTGAGCTGGCTGCAGTGACTGCCCACTCCTTTCTTCAGGGCTCCCAGCTGCAGGCACCTAGGATGTCCAGAGAGCAGGGCCATACTGATGTCCACACTCCGGAGTATTCTGGCAGCTTCCAAAGCATGAGGTTCCATTATGAACGGTAAGAGTTGGAGCTTGTTGGGCCCTGGCTGCTTGGGCAGGGCCCAGAACTTGGCAGAGGGGCTGGTGAGTGCCCTGGCTTCCTGCCCATATGGGGCCTTTGAGGGCTCTGTGGCTGGGTTGGGTGGGGCTGGCTCCCAGATTTTAGCCCCTGGGCTCTTTGTTCCGCGGAAGGGAGGGACTGGAGCATGACAGAGGCACTGTCTGAGACGCCCCTAGCCTAATCTACTTGGTCTCACAGCCTTTCTGACTGCCACCAGGCCCTGCCTGGGACCAACAACAGCTCTGACCTTCTTCTGTCTTTTCTTTTTTCCTAGCAACCCGGACGCAGACATGATGGCGGAGATTGGCCTGGAAGAGCTCAATGGACTGGAGATGGAAGTCATCAGAAGACAGGTGAGCAGGGCCCCATCCAGCAGGCAGGTACAGAGAGACACATATAATCAGTTTGCAGCCACAAGGCCACCTGATTGAGGCCCTCTTACCCTGGAGCCCTGGAGATGAGGCAAGCTTCCTTCTTCCTATACACAGTCCCTATAGTTCTGGTGTCCCACCTTAATGCTCAGCCTCAGGCTTACTGCTATCCCTGAGATGCTGGGAGGGACTAGGGAGAGAGGAAAGAAGGAGGGAGGGGGTAAGAGCAGTGTGTCCAGAGAGGGGTCTGAGAGAGAGGTCATCTTTGTTGAAATGAAATCCAGAAGAGACTCCAAGGCCCTGGGCACAGAGGGGCATCTACCCTGGTGGCTGTATGTGGCCCCGAGTGTTTCCCCCTCCTGGGCCCTCCTTCTGGTCCTGCTGCTGCCCCCACACCAGCCCACCCCACATCCATAAGAGCCCTTCCTGCCTTGGCTGTCCCGGCAGAACTGGGACGGGCTGGCTTCAGAGAACTAGAGCAAACACCAAGGACCGGGCACAAGAGAAGCCGTTCCTTGGTCCTGTGGGCCTCGCCAATCTGACGTCCCTGCTTCTCACGCAGAGACACTCTGGGCCCCTGACGGTAACAAAGCTCCTTAGTGCCTTAACCTCACACTTTCCCCACTGCGAGTTGCGCACCCCCCACAGGAACCCTGCTCGCCAACCAGCCCTGCTTTTGGTCTCTCTGCAGCTGCGCATGATCACTGGGCGTCTGCGTGCCCTGGAGGAACAGAGCACCACCTGGCGCCAAAAGGAGACTGTGTTCATCACCATGATGGTGTCTGCCTGCATCGCCAACCTATGGCTGTGGATGCGCCACTGATGTTTCACTGCTGCCAGTATTGCCTGAGCCCACCCTCCTTCCCTCTTTTCCTTCTGTCCCTGGGCCACTCTTGCCCACCTTCCTCCCATCTCCTAGCAGCCTCAGGCAGCGGCAGGGCCATTTTCCAACTCTGCTTATTCCTCCTGCCTGGAGGTCAGGTCACTCCATGGGGAGGCCCCAGCTGCTAGAAGGACGGGGCCATCTAAGGGGCCAAGCTGCCGCTCCTTTTGATGGCTAGGAGAGGGGCATCTGGTTCCTGCAGTAACATCTGCCTCTGTGATTTCAGCATCTCTTCTGTTCCTTGTTTGTATCCCACATTGTGCACAGGGCTCTGCACAAAGAACAGGCTAAATAAAAGCTCAATGATAACAGCAAAACATGGTGGCCAAGGTTCTTGAATCCATGACTCATTTGTCGTAAAAGTAGGGGTGGGATGCACTGGGGAACAGGCGCTCTGTTCAAAGGCCCTGAGGCTGGCTCTAGTTTCTGCCATTGCCCCAGGGGCCCTGCTTTCTTTAACCTGCCCCGCCCTCACTGCCCCCATCCCATGCAGAGGGCTTCCTGAGGGGCCATTGCAAAGCCCTTCCTGCTGGGCTTATGCCAATTAGCACTTGTGGGGAGCATTCTGGCCAGAAGTTGAAGGGACTCAGAGGAAATGTCCTGGAAGGGACCGGAAACCTTCCCATTTGCTCAGGAGGAAACTGAGTTCCAGAGAGGGAAAGCATGGTCCCTGGGGTCATCCACCCAGACAAGAACAGGACTTGGTCTCTGGTGAGGCCCTCTGAATCTTAGCCTCCTACATGTGCATTGGGGGTGAGGTCCTGACTCAATCCTGAGGCCAAATGAGAGCCACCCTGCCACACACACACATGCCAGCGACCACAGCCCCATAGCACATCTCAGATAGGTGTGGGACTTATTCTGAGAGTTTGGGAGTGTCACCTGGGTCCAGCTTCAGGAGACCTGCAGAAGAGTGGCTGTGCTTTCTTCTGGGACCAAGGGATCAATACACCTCCCTCCCATACCCTGGGACCCAGAACTTGCACAGTGGCTTTTGTAGCTAAGTGTACCTTTCCCAATTGCCCAAGTCTGTCAAGGGTTCTTCATCTATACAGGTGGGAGAGTGTGTTAGTCACTAGGCATGAAGTGAATGAATGTGTGTGTGTGTGTGTGTGTGTGATGCTAGAGTGAGGAATAGAGGGAGAGCTTCAGTCCTAGAACCTATTCTGCCCGTACCCTCCCCCTCCCTGCCCCCCAGGGGGCTCCTATGCAGTCAGCGGGTTCCTCCATTCCTGGCACTCATCTGAAATGAGGGCTCCCATGAGCCAGACGAAGCACCATACACATGGGTTCTGGAACCTGGGCCCTGCTGGAAGCAGAGACAAGGACACTTGGTACAGAAACAGCCAGGAGATTCTCTCTCTGTCTCAGAGCAGAGAGTGCAATGAGGTGCTAGAGGAAGCTCCTGTATAGAATGGGGGACTGCAGAACCCACATACAAGTGCTTCTCGACAGGACAGCCAAGAGGCTGGGGAGAACTGTCAGCATCCGCTGCCTCCTCCAAATGGGCCTGGAGTCCTTGGAATCACCTGAGGGCTAGAAGGAAGGCTGGGGTGCTCCTTCCAGGCCACTCTTTCCCTCCTTGCTATCTCAGAACAGACCAGGGCTCTAGATGCAGAAGGTTATTAAGGGAAGTGGGAGATGGCTCAGTCTACCTGCACAGACCATGGAAGGCAAGTGAGCGAGGGGCCAAAAGCCAAACCTGCCACCAGGCCAGCCCTCATGTGGCCTTCCCAAGGCTGCCTCTTCCTTCTGCCCCAGGCAGTTCTCTCAGGGAAGCTCAAAGGGACCGGGGTGTGTGTGTGTCTGTGCAAACACTGATATGTTTGCAGAAAAAGTCTGGTTGAAAATATGTTGTGAAACAAGATTCACCCTTGGGAGCAATTTAGCTGAGTTGCAAACAAACAGCATGGCAGCCCCCAAGAGGAACACCTCTGAGCCAGGTGACCTTACGTAGGGCCCTTGGCTGGGCCTGGCTGCACCTGCACTCTACCCTGCTGTGTGGACACTTGGTTGGTTCCTTTTCAGAACTCCCTGCCCCACCGAAGAGGCCTCAGAGAGTTCCTGAGAGGAACCGGAACGGTTGCTGCTCAGGTTGGGCCCCCCTCCATAGGGCTTCCTCAGGGGCATAGGGACCATACTCTGGGAGCTGGCATCTTTGTGATGCTTTTCTGATTCCCAAACTCCTAGGAGATCCAAGGATGCTCGGGAGGCACCTTAGCACCCCCTGCTCAGTCCTCTGGCTCTGACCACTTGGAGTGTGTGCCCTTCTGATTGTATGTCCCTGACTAGCTATCTTTGCCCTGCCCAGATACTCCATCTTGAACCTAACCCTTCTCCCAAAAAGCTATGAACTTCCTCATGGAGAAGCAGGGTGCTGTGGGTGAGTGGGGGATGAACAGAAGGATTCAATTGGCCCGTTGTTTATTGCTAGTCTGTGAAACTTCTCATGGGCCGCTCAGGCTTGGCATCAGAGGGGTACACAGTCAGTCCTTCACTGGATCAGTGGCTTCTTGAGGACAGGGCTGGCTTCCATTGCCTCTGCATCCCTGGAAACCAGCAGTAAAGGGCTGGCACTGTGGCCTCCAGTCAGGGTCTCCAAAGAGCAATTCTGGCTCTGCTCATCCCCAGGTGGCCTTTAGCACATGTCCTCTGTAGAAAAGCCTTCCCCATCAAAGTCAGGCAATTCTGACTGTCACTTTCCAAGGCACACCTACTGTGTGCCACATCAATCCCATTTTAAAAATCTGTGGTAGTATGAGTCACCCTTAAATGCATTCTCCCCAGAAAGGTGAGCACTGTGGGCACAGCCAGCACCCTCCCTCCACGGGTGTACCCTTGCCTACTCACCATGCTGTGACATGCAGATTTTGTGCCCCAGGCTTTGTGCACAGGATGGCCTTGCGGCCTCCCTGCCCAGCCCCCGAGGGAAGATCCCATCTTCCCAGCCAGCTGCGTAGCTGGGCAAAGCTGTGCCCCTGGTCGTGCTGTGCCCTGCCCTACCAAGCTGGCCCTCATTCTTCCTCCAGCCCTGGGAAAAAGCTGAAGCTTGGCTCTTCTGAGCCAAGTCCACTTCCTAGTCCCTGGAGAAGGTGGGCATGTGGGGAGGAGCCCTGAGGGCGCATGCAGGGGCTCGGGTATACCTGGACACAGCCTGAAACCCGGGCCTCTTAAAAGGAGTCAAAGGCTCACTGCCTCATGCCCCATGGCTCTTGTAGCCCCCCCAACCCCAGACCCTCTTGGAGGCCAAGTTCAGGGGACACCACAGAGGGGAAGGAATGAACTTCTCTCAGTCCAGCCTCAACCCAGATCCCTCCCTCTCCCAGACTGCTCCCTGGCTTTCCCTCTGGTCAGGTGAGCTGGCTGGGAAAGGACCAGGGCCTGGAGGCAGGTACATGGGTGCTGTGAGCTGGCAGTTCTCAATGCCCAGATACAAAGCCCTGAGCACGCTCCATGCAAGGGAGGGCTCCCTGGGGAGCTGGGGAGGGGCTGGCTCCTGGGTGTGGGCAGATGAACAATTGCCACAGCCAGGCAGCCCAGCATCCATTCCTTGCTTGCTGCTGACAGCTTCTCCAGCAGGCAGGAGACACCCTGGGCCAGGGTCTTGAGTTTGCCTTAGCCTTGGGCAATGAGCCCCTCTGGGCCTCTGCCAGCCTCTCCTGCTGGCCTCGGGCACAGTGCCGCAGCTCTCTGACCCGGGGCTGCCAGCTGAGTCACAGGAGCTCAAGAACCCTCTGGCCTGGAGACAGAAGTTGCAGAAAGTCTCTGCTGGCTTCAAGTGCAGATGAGCTCCAAAGAGCTTGTCTCTGACTGGAGGCTGTGCAGAAAGACTGACAGATGCTGACTGTGACTGGAGCCCCCTGCCTCTGAAGCCGTCTGATTGGTGAGGAAAGGCACTGACCTGGGGCTGAAGGCGCTCTGTGACCATGGTCTAGCGTCCTCTACAAAATTCAGAGCTGGACCCTAGGAATGTTTGCAGACCCCAGACCCTGGCTTGACCTTGATCATCATGTCTGTGGCCTGCCAGGGAGCTTAGGAAAGTGGCTGTGTGCAGAACCTGTCCCCAGTCAAAGCAGCCAAATGAATTGCTTGGGGCACTTGACTTATTCAGGCAGCTGAGCCTTTGTCCTCTCCTAGGAGAGTGGCGAGGAGGTGGCAGAGGGGCTGAGGGGCCATCTGGGCATGCAAGGTTTAGGGGGGTGGGTAGCTGTGTGTCTTGTCACTGCCTGCCTGGTGCCAAGCTTTCCAGTCTCCCTGCCTCAGGCAGGGGGAGTGTGCCTGGAGCTCCATGGCTCTCTGCAGGTCAGGGGTTATGTGGGGCTTCTCCCAGAAACCTTAATGGGCTTGAAGCCTTTGCTTTTGACCTTTTGGGCTGTACCCTGGCTTCCTCAGGAGATCCCTGGAGGAGCACATTCACTTCAAGCCTCTCTGGTTTGGGGAGCCAGTCCCTGCCATTTGCGCAAATGCACCTTTGGCGAGGTCCTTGAAGCTTCTGGTTGAGGGAAGATTCAGAAACCCGGTAGCAGGCCTGGGGCAGCAATAGGCTCTCAGGGACATGAGCTCCTCTGGGCCTCTGCCAGCTTCTCCTGATGGCCTCTGGCAGGGTGGGACAGCCCCTGTTTTGCTCTCCAGTTGGAGAGCTGGAGTTTAGACAAGCAAACGAAAGCTCTATCAGGCTGAGGCCAGAGGAGAAAGTTAACTTGGGGTCTACCTTGTCTGTGGACCTCCTGCTAGTGGCTGGGCCCCCGGGCCTCTCTTTCTCCACAGCTGGACCCCTTCCAATTGCACCTAAAGGCCACTTGTCAGAGATCAACTTCTCCCGAGGGAGGGACACCAGTGCTTGGACTGGGCACATACGTGAGCCCCGCCTATGGCAGGCAGACTGTGTACCTGGTTGGTCCTCAGGTGCCATGGTGGCCAGAGAACATCCAGGAACATCC